GAGAAGGGAGAGGGTTGACATGTTGTGGGGTTGTTAACCAATGTCATAAAACAATATGTGTACTACTGTTTCACAAGAAACTATTTGTTCTGTAAGCCTTCACCTGAAGTACAATAAACAAAAAAAGGAAAAAGAAAAAAAAATTACATTAAATGTTTAATTGGTGTTAAATACCTATAAACTGAGCTGAACTACTTCAAGCAAGCTAAAAAACCAAAAAGAAAAAAACAATAGTAGTAATATTCAGTGACTCTCTTCATTCGTTAAATACTTGATTCAAAACCTAAGCCTGGAGTTCTTGTTCCTGACGCCCCCCAGCATCAAACTTGTTGTTACTGTTGTTGTTGTTAGGTGCCATCGAGCCACTTTTGACTCACAGCAATCTGATGTACAACAGAATGAAACGCTGTCCAGTCCTATGCCATCCTCACAGTTGTTCCAATGTTTGAGCCCATTCTTGCAGTCACTGTGTCAATCCATCTTGTTGAGGTTCTTCCTCGTTTTTCACTGACCCTCTAGTTTACCAAGCATGCTATCCTCCTCCAGAGATCGGTCCCTTCTGATAACATGTCCAACATACGTGAGATGAAGTCTCGCTGTCCTCACTTCTAAGAAACATTCTGGCTATACTTCTTCCAAGAACATCAGCTTAGTTATCTCATAATAGGTTAGAAATCGAGAGGCCCTCTCTGAGAATATTAGGCATTAAATTTATCAGTATGTTGAAAAGTAAAATGCATCTGTTAATCTTCACATTAGAGGAAAGAACGATCACTTCCAAATAATAATTCACGTAAATTATTACAATAGAGATCTAATAAGATAAAATGTAATATGTTCAATATCTGCACTTTAAGGAGGCATGACTAGTACATATTTCTAGAGAGGAGCACTGCCTAAAAGAAAAAATAAATGTTTAAAGTCGAATCTCCTGGAAGCACTTTAAATATCAAGAGTTGGTGAGCATTTCCTCGGGACCTACAGGCCTTCTTTATATATTTAAAGGAGTCTCGATAAAATGTTTATTATGCTTAGAAGCATAGAATGTTTAGAAGTTAGCAACACTTCCAAGACTCACATACTTTCTTATTATTTATTTATTTTATATTTTATTGTACTTCAGGTGAAGGCTTACAGAACAAACAGTTTCTCATGAAACAGTAGTACACATGTTGTTTTATGACATTGGTTAACAACCCCACAACATATTAACCCTC